GGTGCTTAGGAGGTGACCTTGGACTCCCTACAGCCTGATCCACCTTTACTCTATTCTCACTCTGACTGTAGCTTACCACTACATTTTAAGAAGTTGAAGAGTGCTAGAAGAATCTTTCTTGTCTGGCATCTGCCCTGGCCTTCTAGTGGGAAGTAGCGATTTTTTCTCAAGAACAGACAGAAAACTCACACTTAGTCAGACCCCACAAAAATTACATTCTGTACTTCAGACTCCCATTATCAATCCAAACACACAGAAGATTATTTCTCCATTATTTCTCTCACTTGTACCCCTATGACTATTTTCACCTGTGCTAATGCAGACTGCCAACAGTTCAAAACTCTCCAATAATAATTCAACAGGAAAGAGTTCAGAGAGCAACAAGAGCACTAAGAGATCTATGAAATATAACCTATGAGGAAATGGTACAGGAATTTTTGTTTTCTTAAATATAGAAAAGAGAAGACTGAACAGAGACATGATAACAGTCCTCAAAAATGTAAACGACTGCAACAAAGAGGAAGGAAATAATCTCTTCTCTCCCACGTGGAAAGGATAAGAATAACAGGCTAAAATTGCAGCAGGGATGTTTTTTGATTAGATATTAGCAAAACCATTTCTAGCTGTTAGGATGGTGTTATTGAAGCACTAGGATAGGCTGCCTTGGAAATCTCTGCATCTGGAATGCTTTTGAAGCAGGTTGGAGCAATGCCTGTGCTAACAGGACAGGTACCACTGACAGGTACCGCTGTGCTCTTGGAGCAGGAGAAGGAATTGGTGACTCCTTAAAATCCCTTCTAGCCTTGCTTTCATATAACGTGATGATTCATTGGATAAATGCATGTTCATTTATCACCTCTGGGAGAATTTTAGAAGTATTACTTGCATCTTTGTGTTCTTTGTCTCCAGAGCCTTCCTTAAGATTATTACTTTTCCAAACACTAGGTTATGCTCTGTGGTTCTCTCTTATAAAAGGTGAAGCTAGTCCAGCCAACAAGGAGCTATAACCCTGCCATTAATTGAAAGACAATGGCACTAACGCTCCTAAAGAAATTACGAAAAATGAGCCTTTGGCTACCTGGTCACTTGCTTTCACTTTTGCAGCAGCATGCGCTTCAGCATTGCTGAGTTTTGCTCTTCAAAGACAACCACCAGTAAAACGTGGCAAATGGGACCTGGGACAAGAATGGTTAGCAGGGTCAGTCCCTGGCTGTCACAGGCAGCTGTATCAGGCAATCCTTTTGGTAAACTCAGCAAACTGCATCTCCAGCCCGGTTCAGTTTCTTGTCCTTGCTGCTGTCACTGGCTGGCTTCTCCAGAACATCAGCACTTAGGCAGCCAAGAACCCTCCTCTAATTTCTAACCTAGCATTTTTTCTTGGCCAGTTTATTAATTAGTTCCTGTGATAACGCAGCATTTCCATCTCCCTAGAGTTTTCCAGTTTAGTGGATTTGTAGTTGACATCAGTATCCCTCTTAGTTTTCATCCTGTAAGGCTAAACAGGTCAAGCTCTTTTCATATCTTCTCAGAGAATCAGGTGAATGCACCCATCAGCAGCATACTTCTTTCCTGATGTAGTGAAGAGGTGGCCCAAAATTACAGGCTTGAGAACAGATGCCTCAAAACCAAAACCCAACCACTTTTGTAACACAAAATCAAGGCCTGGGAAGAGTTAAGAAGTGAAGTTGCCCGGTCATTTTCTCTGTCAAAAGTGTAGCTGTCCTACAGAAACTCTTGCGGTCTTGGTTATGGTTCTCTCTCGAGTACCACAACAAGTTTGAGAGTGGTGGGGAAGAGCAATTCTTGCATCAGTCTTCACACAGCATGGCCTACTTCATGCTGCCAGCAGTCCCTACTGGCTAGTGCCGAAGCCCGAGAATTGCAGCTCTTCTTCCCATGTCCCCTTCGCAGAGGCCAGCCCCACTGGTGGCACCAGCACTGCAACGCCGTCTGTGGTTACACATTCAGCAGCAATGCTGCTTGAACCGGCTTGTCCCCACCCTTCTCCACTCCCAGCTGCTTTTTCCATTTCCCGCCGGGCGCCCTCCCTACTGCCAGCGTAAGTGTTTGTGCAGTTATGTGCAGAACCAGGTCAGGGATCTGATCCCAGCCAAAAAAATAGCCTGCGACTTTTTTTTTTTTTTTTCTCCCAGCTGGAAGAAGTTCTTCTGTCTGGTTTCTTGGGTGACTGCACAAGCACTTTGGCTGGCATAAGGGAGGGAAGAGGATGGGGGTGGAAATAAGCAACTCTGCCATGAGTGCTCCTCCCAAGTGAATGTGGCTGATCCACAGAGCCTCCCCTCCGCTTTCAGCTAGCGTGGGTTGATCTTGCAAGGAAAATCACATACTTGTTCTTCGTCATGCCCCAGATGCTCCCCACCCTCCTTTCAAGGAACACTGCTCTTTCCCCATCCATCTCTAGCATGTGTTATCAGAAAGGCTCTCTCATCAATCAACACCCATTAGAACAGCCAGGTTTTGGAGGCCTCCTGCTTGTCGTGTTAAAAAAAAAAAAAGACTGGAAGAGAGTTCAGGGGCTGTTGAGTCTAAAACCGGTGAGCGCTGCCACTCAGGACACACAATCCCTTTCAGAAATTGGGCTGCATTTTCTATGCCTTAAACTTCAGACCATTGCAATGGTGCATTCTTGCATCATAATTAACAGTTACTAGAAAGATAGTCTAAAAAAATGTAGTTCTTTGTAATCCCATTTATTAACAAGTAAATCTTAGTTGTAACTGGGTTCATTGAGGCACTCCTTTCTTGGGCAGCTATCACAATTCAAGTTAAAATAAACCCACTCCCCCCTCTCTTCTCATGTTTTTTGGCTCTGAGCTTTGCTATGAGTGACATAGACAAAAATTTTCCAGGAGAATTTTTATTATTTGAAGTTTTCTCATTCCAATGTGTTTGGCTCCAGACACTTCCAGGGAGGCTGATACAGCCATTGCTACTAATACGCTTTGCAGAAAAACTCTTTGAGCCTTCTTTGACTCTTTGAGGGAGAAGGTATTGAAAACCACATTTGATTGAAGTTTCTACAAGGGCACAAGGGTTACTGCAAGTTTTGACCAATTTCTGTATTCTGAAGACATAGTGCAAGATTATTACTCTTTGCAATACCTCTCTGGAGAGAACGTAAAAAAAATAATTAGATATACTAAGAAAGAGAGTTTTAAAAAGGCACATAGTTATATATCACGCAATCTTGTCTGAAGTTTGTACACTGGTGATATTTGTGTGTCTATGAAATAAAATGATAGATACTTCATTCCTGTCTGACCACTAGAAGATATTTTGGACTTATTTTTATGCTTATGGCACATATAGGAACTCAAAAAAAACTTTGGCCAGACTGCATGGGTTGTTTGCTGAAAGCCTGTTCACAAAGGACCTGCACAACATGAAGTCCTTCTAACTCCCAGGAGTGCCTCAACAAACACAGTGGACACCCATCCAGTATAAATTATCTATTAATAAAAAATATTTGTTTATAAACTGATCAACCATAGCATCTTTTTATAGACTACACTAAGAAAAGTAAATTAAAACAGGCAATTATTTATATTAACATCTGTCCAATAGTATACTTACAGGGAGTTTTTAGTTAACGTACATATTCCCATCAGGAGAGCAGCTCAACAGCAGCAGGTAGCTGCATTTTGGTTTAAATGTTCCTTACATTTAAAAAAAAAAAAAAAAGGCAACAGGTGCTGGAGAGTAGCAATGAGTGGCCTCTTTCCCCTCACCTCCATTTCCCTGTAGGATTCAATCACTTCAGTGATAACAAGACACAGGGATCTTAATTTTCATTCAAAATTAGGAACCATGAGGGTGGCTTTTGATTGTAGAATCAGCCTCATGGTTCCTGGCGGGCTTTCAGCCTATGGGGAAACCCTGAAGATGAAACGAGCTGTAACCTATCCCTGCTTTCCTGCGTGACATTAGTCTGGTCCCTAAACACATCTCAGTGCTTCAGCTCGTACATCCATAAGTTAAAAAAAAAAAAAAAAAGCTGTTTGAGAGGAATGCAGAGAGGCTAAATTCATCAGCACTTTGAAATGAACTTGCAGTACTAAGCACTAGTATTTTCATTGCAAAATGAGGCCTTTTGCTGGGAAGCATCAATGCAACAGGATCGTCTACTGACAGACTTGTCAGCACTTTTAGTCAGGCTGGAGTACTAGAACATGCATTTGGCTAAACTGTTTGAACAGAATATATTACTTACCATACATTTTCTATGCTAGTGTAGCTACAGAAATCGTCCTTCAAAAGCCAAACATGCCTACCTGATCTCTAGGTAGTACAGAGTAGCAGAGTTTCTCTAAAATCTAGAGAATTACACTGATTTTTCTGCCTGAGCATTCCACCTAATAATAACAACATATTTTTCTACACTGTGACTTGATTCTGGCTGCATGCATTTCCATGCCAGTATCATTCGTAGTTGCTTTTAACTTAAGCAAAAAGCAAGATCTAGTTTCAGCTGAGACCAGACATATCAAATTCAACTAAAAAAAGTGTTGGGGAGGGGAAAGGAAGGGCATTTTGGCTGGGGAGAAAAACGAGAAGAAGGGACTATAAACAAAGTAAAGTGGAAATTTTATCTGAGCCGTAACAGTATCTTTGCTGCGACAGCATCGGCAGCTAGCAGGCACGACTTTCTGGACCTAATCTCTTCAACCGTTAGTTTTTCATCCGTACGCTCTGCCCGTGTGCTGGGGAGAGAGGGGGAGATGGGGATCGCTGCTGCGGCTGCACAGCCCATGCCAGGAACCTCTTGGTACACTGACTGCATCACCGCGTCCCAGCCCAAGTGAGCTCATGAGGCTCAGCTGGCCTCGGAGAGGTAGCACAGACACGTAATGAACACAACTGTCACGGAAAGTCTAAGAGGGACGCTTGTTCCACGGGCTGCCCGGACAATGAAGAATTGGCGCGCCACCCCCTCTCTCGCCCCCCAGCTGATGCCAAGGCGGGCGGCCGGCCGCCGGCAGATGAATAGCAGGTCTGTTCCAGCAGCTGCGCGTCCCGGTCCAGCGAAGAGAGAGTCTCCGGGAGCACAGAGTGCCCCACTCCGTGCGCCGTCCGCAGAGGAAGAGACCTCGGGGCAAAAGGATGGCCTCGGAAGGGGAGAGCATCAATCTTCAAGTGAGTCCATCTCAGGGGGAATACCCGCGGGAGGGAGAAGTGGGAGGGAAGATCCCCGGTTTGGGGGAAATATCCACCACTCCGATCATTCGCTCCTCAGCTTTGGCAGCCAATTTCACTTGAAAACTCAGTGCCGCTTTTTTCCTCTGTCCTCCTTTGAAGAAAAGCTAGCGGCAGGATCTCTGCCCTGTTCTGCCAGGAGCTGTTCGGAGTATTTTTACAAAAGAGGGCAAGAAGAGGGGAATTACTAAAAAGAGCTGCTTTTTGGGGGAAGGAGAGGCAGCAGGGGCAGAAGTTAGTCTTTAGCTCTCAGAAGGAGGCAGCACATACGTTATAAGCTGCAAAAATCTAAGCTGTTCCTCAACTCACAAAGCCTTTCCCTGTTTGGCAGAAAGTGCTCCCAATCTGGAGAGGAGGAAAAGAAATAAATACAGCAAATGCTGAGGGAGCGCAGAGGCCAGGGTTTCCTATGTAGGGTTTACAGAGAAACAAAACTTCTTGGTGAAGCTCTTTCGGTTCTCTGTGTTCCTGTTCTGAGTGTTTGTGTTTTTTAAGAAGGGTGTTTCTTGTGCTCAGCGTGTGTTCTAGGAAAGGGCAACTACCCAAGGGTTTGGAAAAAGAAACTATTAGAGATGAAATGAAATCAAAACCCCAGAGCACAAACACCCATCAAACTTCAGAAGTTCAAGTCCAGATCCACACTTCAGACAACTCCGGAGAAGGGGAGAATATGAAGCATCGCCCAGAGCACAGCTTCCAGCCCTGGGAGGGTCGGCCGCAGGGTGCAAATTATGAAGCTGATTTTTCTGTTTTTAATGATCTTAACCATCCTCAGACTTGAAAGTGGGGAAGTCCATCTGGGATCTCAATTTTTATTTCTTTGGCCCCTGTCAAAGAAACTAAAATGGAAAGATTTGCGCCCTTGGAAATAATCAGGACAATTATCCCTAACTAGAAAGAAGGACTGAGAGTCCCTGATCCAGCAGAACGTATCTCCACTGAGGTACGAAGTGCAGAGCAGTTTTTTAAGACCTGGGAACTGTTATGCTCAGATGAGAGACACAATAACTGAGGAAGATACACAGGTAGCTGTGACGGCTGGTGAAAATGTACTCTATTTAGGACTGAGAAAGAGACAGGTTAGGCTTTCCTAGAACTAGATAATAAGGGGGAAAATACAGAAATCAGCAAGCTAGGAGCTGGGGGCAAAGAACAAAAGGGACAAGAAGATCATGCTAAATAAAAAGTCAGATTAACTCCTTGTATATTAAAACATTTCATCCATTGGAAAGTTTCAGGTCTATGATGGATTTCAAGCCCAGGTTTCATAGATGAAAAAATCAGCTTCACTGATTAAAATGCTCATAAACTTCTGAAAAATCTGGGGTTTTTCTCTTTCAACCCATCTTGAAGTTAAGTGAAGAACCAAAAGTGATCCTCAGCATCTTCAGCCTTTACAATACTCAAATAAATAAGTCCGGAAGGTCAAAGGTTCCTTGCGTTACAAAATTGAAAAGAGCATACCTATCTGTTTCTAGAGTAGGAAGGTGTGGAGTGTTTCTATGCATCTCTACACGTGTTGCCACACAAAAAATCAGACTACTGAGATTTTCTTTTTGACACCTTACAGGGATTTCATGAAGGCACCACAATACAAAATATAGGTGAATGCACACAGGTTCATGCATGTTTATGACCAGGAAATTTACAGTGCTGGTAGGGGAGAGAAAGAGCGTTACCTACGACCACATAGCTGAGACAAGCAGAGGGTCCTGGAAATGACGTGACTTGGTAAGTGCGAGGTGAGAGAAGGAGTGATCAGTGGCAGAGGAAAAAAAAGAAGTCTTTCAGTTGAAAGTACATTTAAAAGCCTCTTTTGAGTCCCTGCTCTGAGCACTGAACACAGAGCAGGTGTCGTCTTGGAAGTTTCCAGCTGTGGGTTTATGAAGAGCTTGTGGGAATGTGCACTGCACGCTCTGGGGTGGTAATGCATGACTCACTCCTCCTCCAGGAGCTCCCGGATGGAGTAGCAGGAACAGTCCTGAAAGTCAACTATGATACAATACAGAAATAGGGGTTTTTTTTATTTATTTATAGGGAGAGGGTCCTGTGCCTGAAACAGTTGCACAGTGCCTACTAGCATTTCTTATACAACATTTACACGGCCAGGCTCAGCAGGTAAAAAGAGAATGAAAACAATATAAGCATAGGAGAGAGCTAGAAGAGGCAATCAGGATTTAAGAAGGCACTAAGGAGAACTGATCCGCCCCCAAACTTTTTGCTCATCCTAAAACATGAGAACAGGAGCTCACTCAGCAAAATCAGAAGTCTCCATAACAGGAGATGCTTTCTCACCCAGCGTGTCATCAGCCTGTGGAATTTACCATCTCCTGGAGCAGGTCAGAAGGTCAAATATTGGAGCAAGCATTGAGAAGAGGTCGAGAGGTCCAGTAACAATATTTACAGTTATGCAAACTAAAAAAGGTACTTTCAAATCCCATAAGCCAATAGCAGGATAAAAATAAATACCCTTTTCAGTTCCCAAAAAGCAATGGCTGACCAGACTGTGGTATCCTGCATTAGAGAAGTCATAAACCAACTGTCCATAAGCGAGACCTAGGACTGCTTTTTAACAGCAAGGAGTATCTCCCATTAATCCACTTTCTCCCTTACAAAAATCCTCTTGTTCTGCATGTTTCAAAGGAGTCTGTTTTCCAGTTCTGACTTCTAGGAAGACCAGCAAAACCTCAAACTGTGCACAGAGAGATGCTAAAAGGAAATGGTACTGAAATGGGAAAAAAAGCCACAAGGCTGTAGAGCAGCCTCACCAGATCTATGTCAGCCCACCAAGTGCTGAGACAAAAGATAAAACTGGAATTAAAATCTTTTAATTAAAAGAATTAATTTACCTATTAAAAGATAAAACTTTAACTTGAATTAATTTGAATGATTTGTTTTTCTTCCCAGAAATCTCTATTTGTGGCTTCCAAGTGAAATTTCACCTTCCCCTATTAAGCATCTGCCATTAACAAGAAACCAGGCAGGCAGAGCAGTAACCTGATGAGGTAGAGTACATCCTGAGATAGCTGGGATCAGAAAAACACATTTGGGATAGAAATAAATAAAACAACCTAACAAGATTCCCATCACCAATTTTTTTTTTTACTTCAGGAAACAAAAGCTTATAAATTAGAATAGAAGCATGGCTTTGATAGTTACACTCTGGCTGATTTATCTGCACTTCTTTATGCTGTTATTCCTCCTGGCTCTTGTCTCCAACCCTTCCACAGAGATTTGCAGGGGGGGGAGAGGAGGAGGGAGCCATACAGGACCGTTCTTTTCAGCAGCAAAAGAGCCATTAAATCTGTTTAGCTGTGTACCTCAGCTGCTGCAGTTCACGATCTGGCATCTTAACACAACCCTGTTTCATTGGTGATTTAAGCTAATGTACCAGACTTTGAATGGGAGCGACTGAGACAACATCCGTTCCACCACTCCCACCACAGCAGCAGTAACCAGGGGAAAGTCTGCGGACAGCTGAAATCAGTAACACTCACACATTATTGCCATGGCTAAGTCTGTCAGAGCCCCAGATGAATATTGCAGAACAGAGCAAAGATCAGGGCTGATACTAAATGGCTTCAGAGTTTTATTAGGTTTGTATTTTTATATTTTCTTATTCATGAATGGGTGTTATGTTCTGTATAAATGGGTATTTAAGGGACGTGCACCAGATGAATGTCATCCATATTCGTGTTGCAAAAGAGGCTATATGGTGTATGTTGCGCCTTTCTTTTTATAGTTTCTTACTCTTTGGATAAAAAAATTTACAATCCTTTGGGACGAGAAGCAGAAATAATACCTGACCATTTAGGGAATCATTCATACATCAAAAGTAAAAAGAGTAAACAGATAAAATAACCATTCTGGAAAACAGACCCTACACTGAAATTTTTTGGCAGAAGCAGTTCGGTGAATGCTTTGAATGCAAAATACATCTGCAGAAATAAAGACAGGTTTACAGGCAACTTGCAAGGAAAAAAGATTTTCAATAATTGCATAATTTACTTCCAGTGCTCAGTTTTTGACCAGATCTACAGCAGAAGATTTTAGACAAGCACATAAATAGAGTTAGCTATAGGTGTGACAGTGCGGACTTTTCCAAAATGCCCATGAAACAAATGGAAAGTCCCACTTACCACTGTAAATGCCATCTCCCACATCCCACTTTCAGTCCCAGGGGACGCAGGGAGTGTGTTCACAACTGGGTTAGACTGTTGGTTTTGTGTTTTTATTGTGGCTTTAACGCGTGCCTCGAGGCTGTGATGTGCTTACAAGTTCTTGGCGTGGGCATGTATTTGCCTGCTTCTGCAGCAACAGCCAGCTTGTGCTTTCTAGTGCCGTAGGACCTTTACTCTCCTTCAGCAATTTCCTAGAACAGTGGCAATCTAACATTGTCAACCGAGAAGTGTACCTGCCCCAGTGGGCTTCAGTAGCATTATTTGGGTTCTGTAATTTAGGCTTGGATAGTGACAGTCCGCATTGAGAGAGAGAAAGAGCCTTTCAGAAAGAAAATCGCAAGTGCTTCGGAAAGAGCCATTCCTGTGACATCCGTGTATGGTGTGTGCAATTCAGCCATCAAGAGTTTGAGGAACTTATCTCACTGTGTTTTTAACTAAACTAACCCAATTACCACAGCCCCTCATACAAGGATCCCACTCCGCATTCCCAGAGATGCACTCCCCCAACTGTGCCATTCATTTGACCCTGGTAAAGCTGGTTCAGAGAGCTAAACTCGGAGAAAACTGACCACTTTTTGGTAGGGTTAGTGTTCTGGTTTGCTGTTGTGCAGTGGTTCCCAGGAGGATCAGACAACTGCCAATGACTAGGACTGCGTGGCCATGAGAGCATGTAGAGGCAGCAGGATCTCTCCTTTCAGAGTCAGCTACCCATCACTTCAGTTAGCTGAAGATCCAAGTCTGGGTGTAACCAGTAGAAGA